GGATGCAGAGGTCTTGGTAAGCAGTGTCCGTTTGCTTTGGGTGGGGCTGTAAGAGGGTAAGGAGGCAGCTGCGTCGGTAAGCAATGTCCGTCTGTTTTGGGTGGGCATGAGAGGGGAAGGAGACAGCAGCATTGATAAGCAATGACCTTCTGCTTGGGGTGGGCGTGTGAGAGGGGGGCGGATGCAGAGGTCTTGGTAAGCAGTGTCCGTTTGCTTTGGGTGGGGCTGTAAGAGGGGAAGGAGGCAGCTGCGTCGGTAAGCAATGTCCGTGTGCGTGGGGCGGGGCCGCGAGAGAGCAGAGTGGAGGCGGGACCGCGGACATCTTGCATGTAATACTGGCATGACGACGTGTCGTGTTGACGACACGTGTGTGTACGCGTTTGTTTTCTGCATTAGGGTTCGTACTGGAGCCTGGCATCGTCCACTGCAAACGCGTGCGAGGCAAGACGATCCAGTTCGACAAGATCTGGGCCGGCCAGTACGTGACGTTCGCCAGGAGCAAGGCCTCTGGGGATGTGTATGCTTTCGGCCTGAACAACTATTGCCAGCTAGGTATGTCCATTAGTAGAAGCAGGATGGCGGTAAATGTGGTCATGTTAGTATGGTCACGAAACGAAGAATGTTCCTGTGTTGTTCTGCGGGGAGTGACAACGGACACTCGCGTGCTGTCATGTCTGTTTCAGGGTTGCCGCAAAAAGTGCACTCTGCGTTCATGCCACAACAAGCGAAGACCTTCGACAACAAGTGTTGGGTGAAGATCAACGGTGGCCAGCACCACACGTTGGCGTTAGACGATCAAGGTAGGTGTGCGGCAGCAGGGTGTTCAGGTAGGGGAGGGGGTTCGGCAGGTTTCATCGGATTTGGCAGTCTCCTGGGTTGATCGTGTGAAACGTTCAAATTTGATGAGAAAATTGTAGGTTAGAATAGAATAGAATATACTTCAGGACGAGTTCGTTTATGAAAGCTATGGATGGCTGCTTCTGATCCTTATCACAATCGTAGACGTCATATATAAATATATACTTATATATATTATGTATGTGTGTGTGCGTGCATGCATGCGTGCGTGTGCGTGCATGCATGCGTGCGTGTGCGTGCTTGTATACGTATAGGGTCCACCCTGGAACTGTCTAGCTATCTGGAACAGGTTTCTCCTCCTCCCAGAATATTGGATTTTCTATTCCCACGCATGGATGTTGATTGCAGGCAGAGTGTACTCGCTGGGTAGGAAGGAGTACGGCCGGCTGGGGCTGGGAGAGGAGGGCGACGACCAGGCTTCTCCCACGCTGCTCACCTCTCTCTCCGGCGTCACGTGCACCGACGTCGCGTGCGGAAGCTGCGTCTCCTACGCGGTGACGGAGGAGGGTACGTATCAGTAAGAGAGAAGGGCGTGTGTTCGTGAGAGAGAAGGGTAGGTGTTGGTGATAGACTGATAGAGGAAGGTAGGTGTCGGTGAGAAAGAAGCCAGGGTGTGTATCCGTGATAGAGGAGGACAAGAGGTTATGTATTGGTTAGAGTGAAAGACATGCTGGTGGCAAATGCGGGTACGTGTCGGTGAGAGAGAAGGGCGTGTGTTCGTGAGAGAGGAGGGTGTGTGTTGGTGACCGAGGAGCGTACGTATCAGTGAGAGAGAAGGGTATGTATCCGTGAGAGAGAATCCTGTATGTGCATGGGCGAGGAGGGTAGGTGTTGCCGTCGGTTTAAGAGAAAGAGAGTGACAAAGAGAGAGAGGTGGGTACGTATCACTTGAAGAGAAGTGTGTGTGTGTGTGTTTGTGAGAAGAGGGTACTTCCCTCTTTGCATTCCGAAGACGTTCTCTTGTCTCGCAGGTGCGGCGTACGCCTGGGGCATGGGCACAAACGGACAGCTGGGCAACGGCAACGACGACGACGACCGGTGGACGCCCGAGCGGATGAGCGGCCGGGCGCTGCAGACTCGCGCCGTGCTGCGTGTGAGCGCTGGAGGCCAGCACTCCGTCCTGCTGGCCGGCGACCGCCCGCCCGCCGCCGCCGCCCCCGGGGACCCGTCGCAAGTCAGCTCGACGACGGACGCGGCGGGGTTGCGACCCGGGGTCGCGGAGAACGGCGTCGCGGCGTCGGCGTGCAATGAGGCCGTGCCGGCTACCGCCAGCAGCTAGCGACCGGGCCACGGGGGGACAGGCGGGGGTGCGATCGCGGGGCCGGGAGAGCGGGACGACCCCCCGTTCGAACGGCCGAATCGACCGTGCCGTGGTGGGGCAGGCGGGGGTGCGATCGCGGGGCCGGGAGAGCGGGACGACCCCCCGTTCGAACGGCCGAATCGACCGTGCCGTGGTGGGGCAGGCGGGGGTGCGATCGCGGGGCCGGGAGAGCGGGACGACCCCCTGTTCGAACGGCCGAATACCTTGCCGGATCGGTGAGTATAGGAAATGACGACGGCTCCTCGACGCACGCATCCTCACGGTGCAGATGACGGGGCGTCGCCGTGGTAACTCGTCGCTACGGGCGTTTGACGCTGCGAGGTTTGGTTTCTGTAGGTGTTGCCGACAATAGGCCGAGGCCATGATAAAGATATTGTTTGTTTGCCCTCACCCGACCGACCCGCCAAAAAAGTGCCGACTCAAACATTTTTATTTATCTTTATCACTATACATTATATAAGTCTGTATAATGCTGAATTTATAAAAAGACCCCCTCTCAAAAAAATAAATTAAAAGCCTACCTACCTACCCAAACTTTTCAGCCTGGGTCGGGTGAGGGCAAACAAATATTTTTTTAATTCTGGCCCGTTGGGCCAAACAGCTCCATCGTCGTGCCGTCGAGATCTCGCCGTGAGAGTCTTGCTGCTGGTAGCGTCGCCGGTGTGATGCGAGATGCAGAGTGATCGAGAAGTGAATTCAGGGGAGAGGATTCGCGAGCGTAGTTTGAGAGTTGTCGCGCATGGGACAAGGAGAGGAAGAAGCGGTGGTGGCATGCGCGTACGGTATCGCGAGGGATGGGTAAACGATCATGGTAGTGGTGCACGTGTCCGAATGCCTTTCCTTCTTTCTCCCTCCGGCTTTGTCTCTCTCTCGCTCTGTCCCTCCCTCCCTTCCTCTCTCCTCTTTCTCTTACTCACTCACTTCCTCTCCCTTTCTCTTACTCTCTCACTTCCTCTTTATCACCTTGACTGAGACTCACTTCCTCTCCCTCTCTCTTATATTACTCTCTTACTTCCTTTCTCCTGTTGACTTCCTCTTCTCTCCCGTTGGCTCCCTTCTTCTCTCTCTCTTTCTCAGCTCACAGTAATCATTCTAAACAATTTATTCTACGTTGCTATTTTAATACACGAAGTTTTTCATGCGATGAAATATAATAAATAATGAGTAGGTTTATCCATGAAGTAATCAAATATTGCATTCGATTTGTATCGGTGACAGAAAAGAGACATGTTGCGATTATTGTACTGTGTACTGCTTATTTGTACTGTACAAATTTTCGTGATATTCTGCCATTTTTAATACGTTGTTTATCATTTATACTAATAATAACTGTACTAAAAATTTTAACAAACATTCCTGTTCTCTTTTCTTAAGTTGAAGAAAATCGTTATCGATAATCATACAATCATGTGTTTATGATAAAACTAAAACAATATATTCTAATATATCAAAACAATGTTTATTGTTTTAGGCAGTTGTATTGGAAACAAAAACGTAGGTCACGACTAAGAATAGCATTGCTGGGCTAGAAATGTGTGTTCATATATATAAAGGTGTATATTACTCCCACTGTCAAAAAAACATTAGAAGGCACTTAAAAAATAAGAAATTCTATACATAGATTTAATATAAACAAAGTGGCAAATAACTGATCAGCGACGATATGCATTTCTAATACATCGCCAACTACATGTATCCCCCGGGTTCTCCCCAAGATGTGTAAGTATATGAAGTTTGGTCGCGCTAGGTCAATAGGGGCCGAGTTATAGAGCGGAAGGGAAATATGATGGTCAATGTCAAATAAAGGTTGCAGTGACCTGGTTTCGGTACGTGATCGCGCTAAGTCAATTAGGGGCCGAGTTATAGAGCGGAAGGGAAATATGATGGTCAATGTCAAATAAAGGTTGCAGTGACCTGGTTTCGGTGCGCGACACACCTTCTCCCCAAGATGTGTAAGTATACCAAGTTTAGTCGCGCTAGGTCAATTAGGGGCCGAGTTATAGAGACGAAGGGAAATATGGTTAAGTTAAAGGTCAAATAAAGGTCGTAGTGACCTGGTTTTTGGTAGCGGCTATGTCAATTGGGGGCGAGTTAGAGAAGCGGAAAGGGAAATATGATCAAGGTCAAATGAAGTATGCTGCTTCACCTCTCCCTCAAGATGTGTATAGTATACCAAGTTTTGGTAGACGGCGCTAAGGTCAAATTAGGAGCGGCCGGAGTTAGAGAGCGGAAGGGAAATATCATCAAGGCCAAGGTAAAGGTCAAATAAAGGTCGCAGTGACCTGGTTTTGGTACGCTGCTCACCTCCCCAAGATGTGTAAGTATACCAAGTTTGGTAGCGCTAGGTCAATTAGGGGTCGAGTTATAGAGCGGAAATGAAATTCTCTGCTGCGGACCGAGCGGCGGCGGCGGCTGGGGAGACATGAAACCATAGTATCCCGCCGACTTCGTCGCGGGGTATACAATTAGCAAGGCGCAATCAACATCCAAAATCTTTACATAGATTTGATATAAACAAAGTGATAAATAGCTGATCAGCAAAGATATGCATTTCTAAGTAATTAGTTAGCAAGGGCTGAATCAACATCCATAATCACGCATTATAATGTATATTTTATAAGCACTTATTATATCACAAACCTGTGTATTGAACTCATTTTGTATATCACATGCGGGTGTATAAGCAAATGAATTTACATATGAATCCTACAAATGAATATGGACAGTAACAAAATAGAAGAGTTAGCTTCAAGGTTCCATTTTATAGCTATACATTTTATAGCTATATGCTATAAGCTCAAGTAATGCTTATCAGATCAGAAAATTTGTGCGAAAGAAGTAACAAACGAGGTAAAACAAAATGCATCCATTTTCGGACAATTTTAAGTTTTTATAGCAAACAAAAAAATCTTTGGTCATTTTAAGAACATTTCTCTGAACAATTTTGCATGTATATAGGATATCAGGAATCTGTTATCCAGCACCAGTAATAAATATTCATAAAATATTATCTATAACTACTACTTAATGGTACATTATATTAACAAATTACTATTGATGGAGTGACATGCAACACACATACACATACAATCAATCAATTTTCAATATTTCTAAATAACATCACACATTTCTATTGGTATTTCACTATATAAATATATGTGAAAGAACACGGTGAATTTAGGAGAATAATTGATGCGCCAGCGCTCACCAGAGTGGAAGTACCATCCTTGATGCTGCTCAAAACAGTTAGATGCCCACTAGCAGTCCATGATTGTAATTAACCCTCACTGTTCAATGCCAAATGGTGTTCCTCGTAGTTTCTTGCTGCTACAAGTACTTCTATGCTGCTACACGTAGTTCCATGCTGTCAGCACAGTTCCATACTGCTAGAAATGGTTCCATGTTGCTACAAAAAATCCAATGGTGGTACCACGTCACGCCATGCTACTAGCTGTAAATCAATGATACTATATGCAGTCCCATAATCCTACACGTAGTTCCATGCTGCTACATCTTGTTGTTCCATGCTTCTACATCTTATTCTATGCTTCTACATCTTATTCCATGCTTCTACATCTTCTCACACGCTGCTATACGTAGTTTTAGGCTGCTTCACGTTGTTCCATGCTGCTACGAGAATTCCCATGGTGATCCTCACGGTCCCATGGTGATCCTCTCGGCCCCACGGTGATCCTCACAGTCTTACGGTGTCCCTCACAGTCTCACAGTGTTCCTCACAGTCTCACAGTGTTCCTCACAGTCTCACAGTGTTCCTCACAGTCTATGGGTTTTTACACACCTACATCACCACCGTCATCCTCTACTGCTGATGGATGGCTGGCTATGATGTCGCAACACTTAACTACACACCACTGATTAGCCGTGGAACATTTTCTAAATCTGTAGCCAACTCTGACCTTGTCACCTGTGCAAACACGCAATTAAACCTGTAACCCACTCTCACCTGAACACTCAATCCGAAACAGAAATATATCCCACTCCAACAGCATCCCGAACAAATCTACACGTATGGGGACTGCTATTGCAAAGCAGTTGAATTAGAACTTCTGACAAATTCAACTAGGTGGCAGTGGCGGTGATGGCCAAATACCTATAGTTACTTCGCACTGGTATCTTCTGGCCGAGTTTCTCTTGGCTTTGTCTCCCGTCGTCTCCGTGTGACTCACCAGTTGCGTGACGCGTTCGTAAATCTTTTCTCGCAGCAGCTCCAAGACCTCCTGCGAAACCCCATCGCATAATAAATTAGCTCGTTAGCAGACGCCAGTGGAAAAAATACACGGGGGCTCGGGGCGATTTAGCCCCCGAAATGCCAAAAAGAGCCCCGGAAATGCCAAAAAGAGCCCCCGTAAATTTGAATAGAGTTCAATGCAAACAAAATTTTTGAGTGCTATTTTCATGCACGCGAGCTTAAAAAGTAGCCCCCGAAAAATAAATTTTTTCCCTGGCAGACGCGCGTCGCATCTTCTCTGATAATTAACCTCCACGACATTAAACCGATCTATGAGAATATCTGCCTCGAGATTATATGTTCAGGGCACATGCACGCATCATCGTATACCACCACAACGACCCTAAACCTGACCACCTAATGGTCCTAACCAGATCAGGGATAGGGTTGCAACATATCTGCCCTGATTATACTACCTTAAGGTAAGCGCTGGGGAAGGTGGAACCATTGTCATCCTCTCTACTTGTGGCATGCGAGGTACGAGCATGCCCCGTGGCGCCCTCTTTCATCGGTAATTCGTTGTCCCCGACGACGCCCCTCACATCCAAGCGCAGTTCGACAAGCATCACGCTGTTTCCGAACTGTCGTCGTCACGCGTGTAATCGATAAAGACTGGATTATAATTTGAAAAACCTGGATGAGGCGCGTGCGGGTTTCTACATACGAATATTCAAACACGAGCAGTTGGGGGTGGTGGTACTGGTAGGGTAGGGGTGGGCGTGGGGGAGATTCTCGCCACTTACAATTACACTACCACTTCAGTAGCTCCAACACTAGTATAAACTCTGTTGCTTTGCATTCTGTAATGACGAACAGTGATGTCAAACCGGTTCAAGGATAGAGATCATGTCCAGGACGGTGATTGGATCGGATGTTTATTACTGGACATGCTCTCTATCCTTGTCCTTGAGCCGCTAAACCTAAGCTTAGAGGATGACATACAAGGTGTAATATACAGCCAAGGTCGTGAAAATTTATTACTGTCTTTGACTCGTATGCCAGAGGCAGTGGCACTGCCCAAGTGCCAGTGCCACGACCCAAGGATAGAGAACATGGGTCCCAATAAAACCAATGTGCTTGGCTAATACCCGGACCGTAACCCTAATCCTAACCCTAACCAAAAATATAATCAATATAATCAATAATATTGATGTAAATGACATTGCCATTGGTTTTATTGGGACCCATGTTCTCTATCCTTGAACTGAATGATGACATTGATGTGCCCAACTCTCTGTCTCTGCACCTTACTCGAGTCTAGAGTCTAGACGCTCTGTTTATACGCGAGTATGAAACATGCATAATAGTACTACAAACCTTTACATATTTTTTGGAACGTTTGTATATTCGTTTCATTTTCTACTTGCTTTCTGAGTGTCGAAAGTTTACACTACATTCTAAGTTAACAATATGTTCGTCAACCATTAAAGATTTTCTATTGGATAAAATACGCCATATCGTACATGTGAAATTCTCGAATGCGATTGGACGCACTTCTTGGCTATCGTGTCGCCACCTATTAAAGTAATTTCTTAAACATCCATGATGACATGAACAACACTTGTCTCTACAGCTCGAGCTCAGCACGTTTCCATCATATTTACTCATCAAGTTAAAACAACCCAAGAAAACATCTTTCAACTCACATGGAACTTTACAACACTAAAGTTACAGAAACAAACGAGAAGTGCCTTTCCAAAATGTTGAACAATTGCCTTAAGAATATTTTCAAACCATTAATGTCCACCAACTGGCACAACAGAGAGTCTTTCTCACAACTGAAACTGTAAAAAAAAACAAAATAGAACTTGACTCGTAGTCAGAATGAAGGTGTACATGCATGTACGCTCAAATTGTCCTCAAATACCATCTCCCATGCGATCTAACATTTAAAAAAATTTCTGGGAGGACGCCTCCACATAACCCCCCCCTTTATCAACCACCATCCTTGAAATCCTACATAAATTTTGTAACTGCTGCAACCTGCCATTGTATCTTGGCTCAACCAGGTTCAACAACTAAAATGGACTGGTCAGTGGAAAGGTAGGGGCGACCAAGATTGGTCATGCTTAGGGTACCGTGATCGCTTAATCCGCCACCCTGACACCACACATATATATACTATCATAATCTATAGACCCAGCAATATGCGGCACAGCGCATAGCAGATAAATCGCACCATCATTCTACGTAATGACGACCTTACAAGAAAGCCAGCCCAATGAGAGCATCGATGAGAGCATCCTGGCTCCTTCACTGTATGCTGCCCAAACTTCACCCTGGTAGGTCAAGTTTTGGCTCAATCAGATGGACTCACAACGTAACGCAACATGTAACAACGTCTATCCACATGCAACCACACGCTATGCAACATTAACCACATCTAGACACATGCAAAACCACACTCAGCATGTAACCAACATGTAACCAACATCTAGAGCATCATGCAAACACACGCTAACCACATGTAACCACATTAACCACATCTAACACATGCAAACAACACCTACTCACATGTAAACACATGTAATCCACATCTAGCCACATGCCAACACAACCTAACCACAATGTAACCCACATCTAGCCTACATGTATACCACACCTACTCCCATAGTAACCTACACCTACATCCACCATACGCCGCAACCACAATTGTAACCACATGTCCACATGTAACCACACCCTAACCACACAATAGCCGCATGTAAACCACATTAACCACTCTACCTCGCCACCACATGTAACCATACTACCCACCACATAGTCACATGCCCAAGCACCCCGCAAACAGTGCCTAGCACACCAGAGGGCGCTGAAACACAGCCAAGGTCGACAACAGCCACAAGCCAGAGGCGCAAGCACTAGGAATGCGGGATCTCACCGTTGCCGTGCGCCAACCTCTGCTGTAGTCGGAATGTCGTCGGCATGGTGACCTGCCCGTGAAGATTCCGCCAAGTATGCCATTTCTTGCTGAAGGAGGTATCCGCAGTGTCGTGTGTCATCTCCCTTACCGAACTGCAAGCGAAAAGTTGTGAAAAACGGCCCTCAGCCTTGTAACGCAGGACCAGGCAAACACACAAATCACAAGTTGTGTTTATGAATGCACGAGGCGAGTGTAACATGACATGATTGCATTGCCCCACATCTATTAGCATATATTAGAGAAAGAGAGAGAAAGAGGAGAGGGAGGAGACGGCAGGAAGGAGGGTAGGGGAGGGAGAGGTAGGAGAAGAAGAGGTAAGAGAGAGAGCGAGTGAAAGTGTGTGTGTATGTGTGTGTGTGTGTTGTGTGTGTGTTGTTTGTTGTTGTGTGGTGTGTGCGTGTGTGTGTGTGAGAGAAGAGAGAGAGTGCAGACAGACCAGAAGAGAGAGAAGAGAGAGAAAGAAAGCGAGAGAGAAGAGAGAGAGAGATAGAGAGAGAGAAACGTAAAAGTGTAGAGAAAACAGAAGAAGTGAAATGAGAGAACAGAAAGAGAGACGAGCCGAGAGAGAAGGGGACGACGAGAGAGAGAGGGGGAAGGAAAAATATAGAGAAGGATAGAGAGTGTACAACCGAAAGACAATTCGCTGCAATTGAACGTGACAAATTAATTTGGTCAGGATCAAAGTAAGGGAAGGACTGCTATGCCTATCAGTTGTTCCTACCTTTAAACAATTCTACATTCCTGCGACAACCATCCAGGCGCTTTCAGACTATGCGGTATGAAACAAAAACCTGTCACAACTGTCACCCATCAAGAAGCTAATACTATCCATCTCATCTAGCTTACGCTGACAGTGGACCGAATGATGACTTCATGTATCTGACAGCCAGACTAAATCATAGACAAGGAGACGGAACGCGGCATTGCTGTGTGCTTCAACCTCGAATGGCAACCAATCATATGGACGCTAATAATTACTGAAACGCATGTGCAGACGAACCCATTCTGAGACAAAGAACACTAACTGCTGTTCTAGGTCACTCCTGTCCGAACACAAATCTTTTGGGCCAGATATGGCGCGCTTCCTCTCCTGTTATATTTACAGCTC